TTGTAATTTATTTCTGTGATGGCAAAGCTGAATTTTCAGCAGTCATTACTCCAGTCTTCAGGGTCACATGATCCTTCAGAAAACATTCTAATATGCTGATTTGCTGCTCAAGGATTCTTTGATAAATTAAAATGTCAAAAGAACAGCATTTAAAATCTAAAAGAGTTGATTAAGTATAATTTTTATGAATTGTATTTGATTGCACACAATTAAATTAAAAGTTGAGACAAAATATACAAAACATTATTGCATTAAGTTAATTTTAATGCGCTAAATCAAACAAGCAGCAAAAAAAGCTCTCAGAGCTCTCAAAAAAACCCTGTAGCTTCTATGTTACAACTTCGTTAAAGAACCAAAATCTTTGTGGTTGGCGCGCTTAATTAATCTGAAAGGAAACAGTATAAAGGCCATTTACATTCCAGTGCTGCTGTAGTAGGACTGCTTTTCTCGTTGTTTTTCAGATTTCGCACAGCTGGTTTGTGTAGGCTGGATTTTTTTTCAGCCCTGCAGGAGAGCTGGGCGATATGGGCAAAAATGCATATCTCTGTATTTTTTGGCCGATTTGCGATATACGGTATATGTCTCGGTATTTTCGTTTTTGTATTTGGATTTAAAAAATCTGCATTTAATATATATAAATTTCACTTACCGCCCAGTGTTGTCCAACAACAGTGGCGGCTCGTGGGTTTTAAAATAGAGGAGGCACACTAATTGTATTGGTCTGGGGATCCCTGCCGATTATTATTATTATTATTTGCTTAACCACTTTAAAATGGCTTTTTGGTTGCTTTTAGTCAGAAAACGTAAAGAAAACGACACACATACAGCAAGATAATATAATTTCACTTACCTGGCCTATCACTTGAAGCAAACATCCATCCCTTCTTAAAAGTCTGTGTTAAAAGAGCCGACTGCTGTAACGTTAGCCTATATCCAGCTTAGGTGTGTTCTCCCTTTATTTTTAATTTGTATATTTACTGTTTGAATGACAGCTTGGTAAATCTGTTGGCGATCAAATATTCAATATCGCTACTCATAAGTACTCGGTACATTATCAGCGCAGCGGGAGACGTTCAAACTAATATCAAGTAATTTACGTCTCTATGATGATTGGTTGACACCAGAAGGGAGGCTAACCTCCCTTGCGAGATTTCTTTTCGCAACACTCCTCAGCGATGACTACAAATATTTCAGCGAAATGTATATTTTAGTCCGAATACTTGCGCTCCTATTTAATTGAGCTCTGTCTGTTTGGCGCGCATGTGCGTGGCGGCGCTCGTTCACTGAATCTGTGAAGTTGAGCGGAGAATCCCAAAGCAGAAGGCTCATGCACGAAGTAAGCTGACGTCACTGTGAAAAGGGCCTATTGGCTAATTTTTTTTACCAACGGAGGCACGAGAGCTCATCTCTCCCCCAGCCTCCCCCTCTCCTTCTCTATCATTAGCGGTTGTAATTACATCAGCAGATTCGGCACATTCGCGATAGAAAAGCGGCGCTTTCACGTTATGATATTACAACTGAAATTACAAACAAAAAAATACACATTCTGAGACATGAACTGAAATGAATTGTGAATTTTATTAACATTAAATCGTTCTCCTCCTATTTTCACCTCAAAAATTTGGGGAAGCTGTGCCTCCCCCGACGAGCCGCCACTGTCCAACAAAACAATACATATTAAAGGCTATGAAAACAAATAAAGTAAATGTAACAATGTAAGCCTTTATATTATGTGCAAAAAAGGGTTAAAATCACATTTCATTCTAACATTGTAACATTGCAATCTAAAAACAAAAATAAGGCTTTTAAAGCGGAAGTTAAATTCACTAAATTAAAATGAAAATAAATGAGAACAAAAGTACTCATGAGTACTAAATGAGTAACTAAAAGTTGTTTTAGGCTATTTTGATTACCCCATTACAGTCACTTTACAGTCAGTGCTATCATAAAAAATAGACTTACTTGTAGGTTTAAAATTCTACGTCACATTTATTGTCCAACTACAAATATTTCAGAGGAATGTATATTTTAGTCAGAATTATTGCGCTCCTATTTAATTGAGCTCTGTCTGTTTGGCGCGCATGTGCGTGGCGGCGCTCGTTCACTGAATCTGTGAAGTTGAGCGGAGAATCCCAAAGCAGAAGGCTCATGCACTTCTGACAGAAAAATGGAAATATTTCCATGGCTTTCTAACATTTACAGATGGAGAATATACATGTGAAATGTAAGTTATGGATTCAGGAAGACAGCACATCTCAAACACATTAAACAGCGCAAGTAGCCTAGTGTCTCTGTCAGCAGCCTTTCTGTCAGAGCATATGACGGGCCGAGCCGCTTAAACTAATATGCGAAACAAAACTATAAACTTGTCACATGTTTAGAACAAATTGGATTATGCACTTTCTCCGCAGCAGCTCAGTCTTTGTCTTCCTCTTTATTTTCAGATGCGCTCATATCAAACTACTGTATATCAATCTAAACAGTATTGCCTCATATCAAATCACTTATAAAGAAAATATCGATATATCGTACAAACTCGATATACCGCCCAGCCCTACCCTGCAGTGTAATTTGCATGAAGATACCATGCTTGCATTTGTAAATGATGTGTGTAGCACTAAGCACTGCTTCTGTATTTCTGTTCACTTCTGTGGCTGCAGGCTACAGTGCTGTTTGGGGATTCAGAACTGAGGAAAAACTTCCCTGGAGATCCCACATACACGCGCTGTTTCCAGTGATCTCAGTGTCTAGGCTTCAAACCACCTCACGTCACACTCATCTCTGTGTTGTTCTCTCACTAGGAGGAAAAGAGGTGATTGTGCGCTAGGGAAAAGCGGGAATTGGAGAGGCTGTATGACTCGGCAGAAATCTCCTGCCCTCCATAAAAATGTATTGTGTTGTTTTTGAGACCGCAAAACTGTTTGTTTTTGGATGGCAGCATGGCTTTGCTGACGACAGGCCTTCATGTCTGTGGCATCTAAAGCAAGCCTGTCAGCTGTATGCTAATTTTATTTTCTGGCCACTAAAGACCTGCAGGATATTTACGCATCATGTAACTGTAGCCTGGGTGTGTTAACGGTTCTCCGAATGCTTCTGACCACTGTGGGGGAAAACAAATGCTGGTTACTGTTAGGGATGCATGATATTGGATTTTTGCCGATATCCGGTATGCCGATATTTTTCAACTCATTTTGGCCGATACCCCTACAGATTAAAACTCCTTACCGAACGGGTTTTTAGGACCTGAGGGAGGCTGTCACCGTACGTACTATTACTGTTTACTCTATCACACACCGAACGCGTCATTCTGTACGTGCTTTCATTAAATGCAGAGATCCAAAAGAGTGAATCTAATAATCATTCAGACAAAACTTTGCTTCAAGAATGAGCCACAATGCTGACGTGATCTAATCGCTAGCACACCCTGAGCACATGTGAGTTAATGTATCCCTCTTATCAGCAAGACATATCGGCATAGTTTTTCATATCAGGCCAATGCCGATATTTACATTTAAAGCCATTATCGGCCGATTCCGATATCAGTCCCATAATATCGTGCATCCTTAGTTACTGTTACTTTAATTTCTATTGGGAACGTGATGAGACATTTTGTGTAGATTTAGTTAGTTTTGAAGATTTGGCAAATATTTCTAAACATTTGGTAATAAGTAAATAAATAAATAAAAAATGTAATATAATTTTTTTCACCAGACAGATGAATTAGGAACTATAGTAAAAGATGATTTCAGTGGATAAATAAATAAATAAATCCATATAGTACTAAGAACTAAGTTCACACAGACTGATTTTGTGTTCCACTACACTGCTTTTGAGTGTGTGTGTGTGTGTGTGTGTGTGTGTGTGTGTGTGTGTGTGTGTATGAATGGCCCCTAAATGTGCATGTCTTCAGAAAATATTATTCATCACTGACACTTTCCAACTACTTTATGATAAATTGTGTTAATATAACGCTGTATCTGGTAAAGCTTTAAATGGTTGAAGCGTAGGGTTCTGCTGTATTTCAAAAGAACTAATTTATGCCATTTATTTTTCCTGTGTATTTCTGTGCAAAATAATTTATCCACTGCAGTCTTCTTCTATCATTTATTTTGCTGGTGAAAGATCAGTTATGGATTTTTTTTTTTTTTTGCTGAAAGTGTAACAAAATGTATCACCGCCCTGCCCGACGGGCTGTCTTGAACAGTGATATAAAATTCCTTCCTTGATTTGCTTTGTTCACTCGCTTGTAGGGGTAAAATGGATCATAGTTTATCGTTTGCACATGTTTCTAAGTCTTGCCAATATAAACAATCAAGTGTTTTAAACCATTCACGCGCATTCGGAGCTGCGCGCATGTTTGGATCATGATTAAAATGCAGTGGTTGCCTCTGATTTTAAATGGAAAAAGCACTGCCAAAGCATTAGTTTGTTTATACGAAGAGATTTATTTTTGTATTATTTAATTATTTGATTTGGGATTTGTTTAAAAATTTCAAGTTAGTTTTATTATATGACATATTTCAATTTCACAAAGAAATGTGCATAATTTTGTTGGAGAAATAATAAAAGGACACCTTTTCATTTATAATTTGTCTTAAATCTAATTTTGTTAAAAAGAAAAATTGTGAGAAAATTGTATTGTGAAATCAGTATCGTGTATCGCATCGCATTGTGAGTTGGGTGAATCGTTACATCCCTATATGCTACTAGTTTTTGCTGTGGTATCAAAGAAGTATTCTGTTATTTAAATAATAAAGAACCATATTTTTTTTGCTCATCTGCAAAATTATCCGATCTGTTACTCAAAATCTGATATGATAATGCAATATGATCCGAGCCATGGGTTTTGTGATCCGTTGCACCCCTACTCTCTTGACTTGTTATTTGAAGAAAAAAAGCAATCACTGAAGTTTTTAATCATGCTGATTTGTCCGCAGTGAAGTTCAGCTGATGTCTTTTTTTTTTTATTCGGGCTACTTAAATTCATTTTGGGCTACCAAAATCTGAAGAATGTCTGCCCGAAGGGCTACCAGCGATTTTGAAATTTTGCGAGGCCTGCTGTTACAACAGCTAATTAATGGCTAAATACAGAGAATTCTATGGTTTGACATTTCAGATGATTCAATTACGTTTGCTCACTTTTATGTCTTGTAGTTCTACTGGTTGTTTTTAATTATTTGTTTACTACAGGTTTTAAGGAAGCAAATTTTATATTAAGGCTATATGTAAATGAGTAATCATGGTGTGTGTATATATATATAGTCTATTACATGGGATGCGTGTATGCCATAGTTAGTTACTTCTGAGAAAGTGGGAGGAGAGCATGATAATGGATCATAACTGTCACTGTGGTGCTTGTAAATCTTTATCATGTTTGTTTTTAAGTGTTTGTGCTGACAAATTGGGCTAGTAGTTGTTTTGTGTAGCATTTATCATTTAGCTTGATTTTGATGAGTTAATTATGGTAGTTATGAATGATTAGTGGATTATTCAGCTCCTCTTGGCACCTATTATTTATGTATTCGCGTGAATGTGCAGTTTTTGTGTGTGTTCTGAGTCATGCAGGCGTAACAGGTGAATAACGGAGAGGAAATAGGATGTTTGTCTGCGTTTGACCTGTGGACACAATTAGCCGCCTTTAGACCGGGAGAGGCTCACGTGAGTTCAGCTATAACAATATATCAAAGCAAACAGGTTCACACGTGAGGCCTTCAAACTCAATCACACAATGTCATTTTATTTGCCCTTTATTATTTTCAATTACCAAAAATAGCTTTCTAAAATTGTAAGCCTCATATTTCTGCTCCAAAAATGGGCCCCATTCACTTCCATTGTAGGCGTCGCACAATAAACTTGATTTTTTGTTTTTAAAGAAAACGAGGGAGGTATCTATATTAATATTTGTGATAATCAGCATTATGGAACAACTGCTGCTGATTGAGCTTAATTTACTGAAACTGAAATATTCCTTTACCATTTGTTAGAATAATAATTTATAGGTGCTGTAGGTTGACCTCCCTGAAAATGTATACATTGATATTGACATTAAATGTTTTTTGAGCATCCTGACCAGCTCAACCAATGGCGTGAATCTCTTTAACCGACCGATTGCAAATGGGAGGAGTGCTTGGGAAACCTGTTTTTGATTCCGTTTTGGAGGCATTAGCTTTCTACTGTATGCCGGTCCATATGCTTATAGAAGTGAATCAGTGTATCACCTGCATAAACAGACCCAGATCTTCTCTGTAAGTTTGAGCAAATCTGTTTTAATGAGCGGTTTTGACATCTTTATAAGTCACCTTATTTTGCCTCTAATCCTCGTTCCATTCTCCCGTGCTCTCTGCCTCCCTCTGGCTGGGATCACGGCTGACCCACTTGGCGTCAGTGCCAGCGGTTGGCTCTTCGCCGTTTCTCTGAAAGACCAGACCAACAGCCGCAGCAACTCCACCAGGAGGCCCCCTGCCAGCTGCGTCGTGAGGCACTGCCAGTGGAAAGCAGTATTGCTCAGACATTTTCCTGTCTGCAGACTGCTGGACGTTCATGCTAACAAAGGGCGCTTTTGTGAGATCCAGGCACAGGGGCTTGAGGTTGACTGCTGGCCCACAGAAGGGACTCTAACCCTGGGAAATCAAGGTGTGGTGACACAAAGTGTCCTGGAAGGAACAAAAATGACCTTTACTTGGTGATTATCATGTTTAGGATGGATAATCGGCACAGAGATTAGGGATGGCCATGGGTACTTGGAAATAACAATAGTGATTGAGAACTATACACATTTTTAAATGGAGCATTTCGTGATTTTTCACAAATAAAGGTGTAGGATTTACTTTGCAATTATTTTTACTCAGAAATTACTAGTAAATTTTGCAAAAAAAATACTATGAACTGCAAGTAGCCCACTGAATTAAACAAAATGTTGAAGTAGAAAGACTGAAATAGTATTTACTTGTAAAACTTGGTTGATTTTATCGGTTGCGTACTCGAGTAGTCAAAATGACCTGATACAGTTTAATGTGTTCCTCGTGTTATGAAAGAGTCTTTGGCACAAACTCGAACCTTTAATGAATTCTTACGAAACAGAATGTTCACAAAGGAAAATATATTTCATTACTAGAGAGTGCTGTTTCTTTTTTTTTATTTAACACTTATCAGTGGTGATAATTCGCACTCACTACTGCTGTCTTCTGGGTTTTGTCTCTCATAACTTCTCACTGAACTATATTGAGTAAAATGATTTACCAATGTGAGTTGTGTTTTCTTTTACCTTGCATAGTTTTATTAAAGATCTTTATTAGAGCCCGACCGATATGGGTTTTTTGGGGCCGATACCGATATTAGGGAATAAAAAAAAGGCAGATACCGATATATCGGCCGATATTCTTTGTGTATATTATAGTACAGTACCAGTCAAAAGTTTGGACACTTTCCCATTCGTGTGTCCAAACATTTGACTGGTACTATATATAGAATACAGTATATACATAAACAGAATATATGAACGCGCCGGCGGATCTTCACCAAATTCGGGGGATCCCTTCAGCTCGAGGAGCCCTCTCGAACGCCACCCTCCGTGCGTCGGTAGCCCCCCGGGATCGCTTGATCGGTCGGCGCCGGACCACGAATTTAACCGCAGGTAACTCCCGAACCCCGGGGGCTATCCACGCGGGGGTGGTCTCATTCGAAAGAGGGCCTCAAGATGTACACTCCATTCGTGTTCGAGAGGGTTCCTCGAGCTGAAGGGATCCCCCGAATTTGGTGCGGATTCGCCGCACCGTTACGGAGATATGGCCGTTCAAAGTTTCAGTGGTTTTCCATAGACTTAAGCTTTAAAGCGTTTCATCCAGGTCACCAGTAGCAAACAATGGAGCGCGCTCTGCTGGACAAACTAAGTAATTACACCATTTCAAGCATTTTATCTGCATTATATGTTCTGTAAAAAAAAAATTTAATATCGGCGACAGGCTCGTATCGGCCGATAATATCGGCAAAACGATATATCGGTCGGACTCTAATCTTTATGCTTTAGGGCATTTCACACAACATTAGTCTAATTTGACTAATCTTGACAAATTATTGTTTTGTAATTTAAAAAAAAATAATTAAAATACAATATTAAAATATACCAATAAGCCAGTAGTAAATTTCATGCTATGGCCAATAACCAATAAATTACTGATATTAAAATTCTTTACTATTTTGTGTAAATTAATTAAAATAAAAACCGTAAAAAATTAATAAGTCATCTTAAATGCTACAAGTGAATTTAGCTAGATAACATTATAATATACAGCAGAAAAATGGAAATTAAATTTTTGAGATTTGCTACATTTTATTAACATTTATAAAGATTAACTGTAAGACAGTAGGGCTGCACAATTAATCGAATTTCTAATCGCGATTACAATTATGGATCGTATAATCGTTCAAAGTTCACTTATGTTATTCTGTGTGCTTAAGATGCATTTTTTTTCTTTCTACATGCTATCTTAAGGGTTTTTCCATTGTTTTAATTTTAGTTTTAGTATAACACTATAATACCATTCTACTTTTTTTATAATTTAAAGAAGAAACCAATCCAATGTATATTTGACATTTGAGGCTTAATACTATGGAAAAGCACTAAAAGTTTTTCAGTTAGAGTGTTTTCAGCTTGTTTATTTTCATATAAAAATACGGCATGCAGTTGCATCAAACAATGGTATAAACATCATTCAATGTAAATTGTGATAATCGTAATTAATAATCGCAATTACAATTTCAAGGGAATAATCGACAATTCTGATTTTTGTCATAATCGTGCAGCCCTATAAGACAACATATATTAGATAGCGTTATATAATAGAGCCCGAACGATATGGGTTTTTTGGGACCAATACCGATATTAGGGCGTAAAAAAGGCCGATATCGATATATCGGCCGATATTCTTTGTGCATATTATAGTACAGTACCAGAGCTTTAAATCGTTTCATCCAGGTCGCCAGTAGCAAACAATGGAGCGCGCTCTGCTGGACAAACTAAGTAATTACACCATTTCAAGCATTTTATCTGCGTTATATGTTCTTTAAAAAAAAAAAGTCATATCGGTGGCATATTCACTGATACCGATATATCGGCGACAGGCTCATATCGGCCGATAATATCGGCTAAATGATATATCGTTCGGGCTCTAATATATAATATATTTATATATGCTTATATTTCCATCTTACCAATACACAATAATATGCTTAGATTGATTTAGTTTTTTTTCTCACCCAATCAGAACAGACCAGCGTCCCATTTTTTTGGATCATGACCCACCAATATCTCTGATTTATTGAATGCGGTGTGGAAAATTTGTGCAGTGGTTTCTGGATATGACAGTGCATTGTTTTATGGTTGAAGTGTTGGCACTGTTTATATAAACACCTCTCCGCTGTGTTTGGATATTAGAGAACTCATAGATAGATGTGTTTACTGCTAGCATCTGCTGAACCATCTCATCACTTCATTGTCACCCTGACATTTTTGTGTGTGTGTGTGTGTGTGTGTGTGTGTGTGTTTATGGCTGTAGGATGAAAAGTAAGTGTGATTTCCCTCCAGTAAATGTGTGTTAGTATGTTCCTGCTTAAACTGTCTGTGTCAGCTCTCTTGTGTCTCTCTTAGTAGCGATTGTCTGTCTTTGATGTGTGTGAATGATGAGCGTAATTTGATTATAATTAATATATTGTGTGTTCTTATTTGGATTGTACAGTATGTACATGTTGCATCGCTAAACTAAGCTAAAATTGGTCTGTGTTTGTGCAGTTCCTCACGTCCCATTGTGTGCATCTAAGCCGTGGCTGGTTTTAAATGTCGAACGTGGTTGCTTATGGACTGATCGTCATGGTAACGGTGTTGCAGTCATCCCCGCTCCCGCCCTGTGAGAGCGTTTGACACTGCAATCCCAGCCTGTCTCTGAAGTGCCACTTTTGCTCTGTCACTATCAACACCATTTTAACTGCCACACCTATCAACATGATTGTGAAAACATATGAAAGCTTTCGGTTTAATGCAAGTCTAAGCTGTAGAACATTTTTGAGAACATTGAGAATCTTTAGGCACCTTATGATTGGTACTCAATTTGATTCCAGGACCGTTTGAGATGCATTAAATTATGTATGCTGTGACTACTGATAAAAAAAGAAGTATGATATCCCAGTATAGAGGCATCTCTGTCACATTTCATTTTCGTAATGTTGAGGTGTTTTCTTTGAGGTGTTGTATCTTCATTCAGTCTTTTTGGCCTTGACTGTTGAACCTACTATCTGAAGGCTTCAGCTTATGTTTGTTTGCAGTGTGAGCACACCTTTTCCTGGTATATGTACCACGGCAGATGTGCCCTCTATGCCCTTTTTTTTTCTGCGTATGTATATGCTTTGTTTATTTTTTAGATTAGGGAACACACATTCACTTAATGGTTCTAGAATATAGTCGTGCAGAATTAATATAATATATGCTTATTAAGTACTAATAATAAACAGTCAGTATGCTAGTAGTAATATGCATGCTGATAAGCAACTAGTTAATAGTGAAAAATGTTTCTGTAATTTAAAGTGTTACCAAAATATTGACATTCATATTTTTAATAGAGCTGTCAACGTTAATGTGTTAACACAAGCAATTAATTAAAAAAGCCGTAATGCGTTAAAATAATTTAACGCAATTAATGCAAAATTACTGAAGTGCAATTTATATTCTAAACCTTTCACCCAATTTTGCTTCTCTGTTTGCAATCAGATCATTTTAAGCTGTTAAACTTCGGGAAAGTTTTTTGAGCCACAGTTGATGAAATATGAAATAAATAAATAAATAAAATAAATAAATTGACTTTTCAGTCCAATGATCCAGTAAGCGAATGCTTTCAAACAATCAGTCCAAAACAGCACTAATGTAAAGAAAACCAGGCGGATTACATCAGAGATGGTGGAGAGAATAGAGACTCATACTGTATATATAAAGAGAGAAAACCTTTTTTTAATGTGTGCTTTTTTGAATGATTATATGAACTTTTTATATCATTTGATTCATTGGTGTCCTTTTGGAGTCTCCAAGTGCCCTTTTTTGAAAAAACATCTAAATTTATCTTGAAATAAGCTTGCAGAAAATACAGTTTTGTAAGAATCACCCTTCAATCTTTTGTGACAAAACAAGATAATATGCTTAATTCCATGATAAGTTTGATTGTGAGTAATTGCGATTAACCACACTGAAAGGGTGTGATTTAATCTGATTAAAAATTTTAATCCATTCCATTGTATACTGACAGGCATAATTTTTATTACAGTATATCTAAATATTTTGTGTTTTTATTATTAATACAGGTGCATTGCATTTTGAATTTCTCAAATAATTGTGGCTCAAATCACAAATATGTATTGTATATGTATTTTAAGTAAACTTGATAATTCTATTTATTGTCCTTTTGATCATTGTTGTTGTTCTTAATAATTATAATAATAATAACAACAAAAGACATTACAAAAATCTACTTTTCTCTCAAACGTTTATTTTTTTTTCCAAATGGAGAATGTAGGCTACATGTTTGCAGTTTTGAGTTCAGTGCATTTTGTGTGAGTAAGCTGTATTAAACAGTTTATGGCCCGAGCAGAGTGCTTCCCAAACTATTTCAGCTCATGTTCCCTAGCCATTCTCTAAAGAGG